CTGAGGAGCTGAGCGTGGGGAGAGGGGGAGGGGGAGGAGGAGGAGAGGAGGTGGAGGGAGGAGGAGGAGGAGGAGGAGGAGGAGGAGGAGGGGGGGAGGGGGGAGGGCGAGGGAGGGAGAAGATGAGGAGGAGGAGGAGGTGGAGGGGGAGGCAGAGGAGGACCTCCTCATCCTCCCTTCCCCCGCGTCCTACAAACGGTAGTAGTGGTGAAACAATTGCCCATCACACACCGCTCCCTGAGATCTCACGCTGCGAAGGAACTGCAACATCGCGACAAATCACCACCCGTAGGGGAACACATCAGGTATATCTATATCTACACATATATATATATATATATATATATATATATTATATATATATTAAAAACTCGGAGGTCCGCGGACCTCAGATTTTTATGTTTATGTAATTCTTCGTTCCCCATAACCCGAGCCCCCCCAGGCCCAAACTTTCTGCGGCACTCCCCGCGCCGGACCGCTCGACGAGGGTCGCCCCCAGGCCCGAGCACTGTGGCGAAAAACAGCCTGTTGGCAACATTGCGACGCCCTGGCCGATTCCGGAAACCCTGAACCCGAAAACGTTGCCGTCCCTTGGGGGCGCAGTTCTTACTTCCGCCAGCTGTCTGCCTGCGGAGGCTGCCTCGATTTACTTCCGTGGGCCTCCGCCGCCATTCCGCCGCCCTCCCGCCGAGGAAGAGATGCCCAACCTCCTACCGCCCTGGACGGCGAGGCCCTCTCTGGAACGGCGCCCCGCGTAGTCCCACGGCCCCCTCTCGAACGCTCCCGAGCCGCGGGGGATGGGGGGCTCACGTTGTCCTTGGCCGCCTCCTGGACCCTGACATCCTCCGATGTGGCTTTTTAGATTCGCGGACCAAGAGGTACCGACCCCTTCCCCAGGGCCAAGTTTGCGCCCCAGATCCCTTCTTGAAGGCCCCGCAAGGCCAGGGGATGCTCGGGACAAGGTGCGACGGGAAGGGGGAGGCGGAGAAGGAGGAGGAGGAGGAGGAGGAGGAGGAGGAGGAGGAGGAGGAGCAGGAGGATGAGGAGGAGGAGGAGGAGGAGGAGGAGGAGGAGGAGGAGGACGAGGAGGGAGGAGGAGGAGGAGGAGGAGGAGGAGGATGAGGACGACGAGGCGAGGACGAGGAGGAGAAGATTGGAGAGGAGAGTAGGAGTAGGGGAGAGGAGGACGAGGAGGAGAAGGAGGAGGAGGAGGAGAGCAAATGATGGTGATGGTGACGGTGATGATGATGGTGACCATGATAATGCTGCTGATGATGATGATGATGATCGACCGTACCTGAGGCGAGCCAGTTCGCACGCATCGTCAGCCGCTTTAGATGTAAGTGGCGCGCTGTGCTGCTGCGACGGCGGCTCGCTGTTGGCTTGGCGTGAGCTGGTCCCCATGGGTCGCCGCAGCTCTCGCCTTGTGGTAGGTATATAATGCCAACACGGCCATTCGCAGCGCACCAGCGCGCGGGAACGTGCGGCTCTCGCGGTTGTATTCGCTGTCGGCCGCTAGGCCTGGGAAAGTCTGATGGTAAGAGGGGAGGCCAAAGAGGGAACGGCGGACGGGGCAGGAAAGACAAAGGGCGATGGAGTCAATCTGGGCGGACCCAAAAAGGCAATTAGCGAACTCACGCTCGTGGCTTCGATGGCTGGTTGTCCAGCCAGCTGCGATGGTCTTCATTATTGACCACTGCCAAGCAGGTCTGTACTTCTTGATCGTAGCAAGACACTCCCCCCACCGCTCCGCCACCCCGCCCACGACGCTATCAACAAAGCCCCAAGCGTTCAGACGCTTGGAAATAGTGACTTCAAGTTTATTGGGGAGGAGAAAGAGGCGGAGGAAAGAGGGGACCGCATGCTGGAGCTTGGGCTTCTTGCCCACCGCTTGCGCCGCACGAAATACCATGCGGCCTGTTGTATGCAAGGCTCCCCGCTGGACAATCGGGATGCCACAGTGGGGTGGACGATTCACCAATTCTGCGAAATGCTGGGCGATCCCCTGCTTCTGGATCCAGCAGTGTGCGCTCCACTCTTGTTTGATCCATTCTTCGATGGGGCAGGTCAGCGGCGCCGATTCGCGCCACCTGTCGAGCTCTGCTGCCCATTCAGTGCTCGCGAGAGTGGAGCAGCTGCAATTACTAGCTGCTCCTAGGATCAGGGCAGACTGAGGGGCCACTAAATCGTGTCCCGAGAAAGAAAAACCATCAGCTTTGCAAAACGAGCAGGCCCTACGGCAACCAGCACGGACTTGACGAGAATGCGCTTCAGCTGTAGGTTGGTCTCCAGCTCGCTGCGCAGCTTGTGCTGCTCGGGCAGCACGTAACTGAATGGCTCGTGCATGTTTGTCGCCAGGTCGATATGGTAGATGCTGAGGCGCATCTCGAGTTTGACGAGCGACCACGGGCATGAGATGTTTCATGTATGTCCACTTCCGTGCAGTCGAGAACCTTTCCAGTCCATTCGCGTTCATGAGGCTGTCGAGTATGATCTTGTAACCGTCCTCCGTGGAGACCACTTCTGGGATGCGCTGCGCTTCCTCTGGGATGCTCTGCTTGGCTCTAAAGGAGGCGTGGCTGATGGAGAGGTCGTTAAGGCGCGACTGGGCCATCTCCACTGGGTCCATGGCAGCAGAGAGGTGGATGTCCGTGACAATCAGGTAATGCTCTGGCGTATTTACAAGTAGTCTATCGATGGTCGCTGCTGTGTATTGCTGTCTGCTGAAATGTGTTGGCCCCTCCGTTCTGATCTCCTGCGTAGAGTCAAATAGGGAACGCCAGAGGGCTTCAGCATGTTGGTATGTACGATGTGTCCGTAGCTGGGCCTGGTCAGGTATCGGGTAATCATAGGACATCGGAACGCCTTCACGGATGTTGATGTCACCTATCGCGATGAGCGTGTGCTCAAGATGATTGCTGCTTGCCCATTTAATATTTTCCATCCATCTGCTATTTATAACATTCTTATCGTCCAGGGAAATGTTGTAGTTGTGGGCATTCATGATGCGCTTCTGGTAGCGTAGCTCCTGTTGCTTAATAGACAGTTGCGTGACCCTGCCTGGAGCAAGCACTTCAAATTCGAGAGACGGTTCTCTTCTTTTGCTGGTATCCTCTCTCCCAGTCATCCCCTTTTTCCCCTATCTTCTGGTATATCTGGATCGTTCTTCCTGGTGTGGTTCTTCTAGTTGCCTGTTTTCCTCCTCCTACTCTTCTGGTTCTGGTTTTCTCTCTTCTCCTGTCTCATTTTAACTGTCCCTTCTGCTTCTATTCTGCTCTGGTCCTCTGTTTTTCACTCTGGTCTTGTCCTCTTCTTTCTTCTCTCTTTATCTCCTCCTCTCTCTCTCCCTTCCCCCTTCTCTCTCCTTCTCTTCTTACTCTGTCTTCCTTATGGTATCTGCATCGCTGGTGAGCCACGGCACCAGGAATGCCACTCCACCCCTTCGTGCATTGCCAGCGCGCTCAGCATCGGGTAATTCAGATGAATACTGTGATGATTCTTCCGCCTGTGAGCGAAAGACCTTGTCATTGTATGGAGAAGAGGCAACCATAACTTCTAGCTGCTGTCGATCACCATGCGTCTCCTGAATCACGATGAGAGCGGATGCCTTCATGGACCTCTCCATCTTGCGCAGCTTGTACTTGCGGCGACGATACTTGTAGTAGCACAGGTCATGCTAATTCCACGATACTACTTGGCCACGATGATCTCTAGCCTGTTGTAGCCACGGGCTCCAGCGCTTATTAAATAGACCACCGCGATGTATCTGTGGCCAAGAAGAGCTGTTGAAACTGATCTGTAATAGTGATCTTGTCGATACCCATCTGGTGGGCGACTGCGATGTTCCACCTGAGTTTTGTGGGTGCGCTGGCGCTGTCTCCAACCTCGAGAACCACAAGGGGAATTGAGCTGCAAGAGACAATACCTTCGTCCCCGACTCTTCTGAAGTGGTGATTGCCGTACTTGTCCGCCAGGAGCCTGACCAATCTCTTCGTTTGTAGCTCTCGCCGAAGTGTTTTAGGAGACTTGTCCGCGTTGATGTAAAGGGGGGTGAGCGCGCCAGAAATGTTTGGAGCCGAGAAATTACGCCACTGACCTCCTGCTCTGAGATTCCGTGCGAGTGAAAGACTGCGTGAGGTGGCTGCTGGTCCACCAAGGACTCTGAGGAAGAAACGCCGTGCAGGAACGTCGCCGATGAGCTCGACATCGTTGGTGGAGACGCCTGCTGCATTGATCCAGGGTTCAAGCGCTCGCTTGACCTCTGCGGGTTGTATGGCCGATGGCGCTCCAATAGTGTAGAGATGGGGGTCTGGAGGTCGATCCCAGACTGCCAGAGCTGCCATGTCAAAGGCGGGTAACGTAGCTTCCGCCATTGCCAATTGCGATTGAATCCGTTCCACGTCTTGCCGCATTTGTTGTTGTTCCTGCTCCACTGTGTGTGTACGCTGGTTGAGTTCTCGTACTGAGGTGTCGAGGGCGTCCATCCTGCCGCCATGCTGTCGAACGTGTCCGAGTACGAGCTGAAGTTCGCCTTGAAGGGCTTGCTGGGCGTTGCGAATGATGGCCTCGGATTCGTTCTGGAGCCTGGCGGTGGCGGACTCGATCTGGGAGGTGAAGAGCTGGCTGAGGCGCTGCTCCAGCGAGCTGTCGTCGTGCACGAATCCATCTCCAGGTGGGGTAGCCTCGCCCGCAATTGGAGTCGCTGGTGCCATTCCTGCAGGCGTTGCGGTAGGCGTGCCGGATGTTGTAGCCGCCTCTTCTGCAGCACGCGCGGGGAAGACCCCGGAAGCTGGTCCCGGTGGAAGCTGAGACCCCGTCCACGGGTCTTCTTTTTGTAGTGCATCTTCGCCTCTCGGATCGGTTCTTGAACTGGCTGCCCTTGCTGCTGTCGCGGTCGAGGGTCCTCCGCTGCGCGTTGCCCTGCGCGTAGGCGTAGTAGCTGTGGCTGTGCCTGCTCGGCCCGTACGTGGGGGATGAGCTCGTTGAGTATGCCCGCTCTCCTGTTCACGGAGGGCTTCACGTTCACGTTCAGCTCGCCGTCTATCCCGATCTTGAGAAGGAGGGCGTTCAGATCTATGCTTATCACTTCGTTGACCTCTGTCACTACGAGAGTGGCTGCCGTCTCCTCTGCCCTTGTCCCTGCGATCTCGTACTCGCTCTTTGCGTGGCCGTCGACGTCGATCCTTGGAAGCTGAGGAGGAACTGCTGCCGCTACTTTCGCTGGATGCCATTGCGAAATACTCTGCCGTTGTGGGAGGTCAGGCGGGACGCTGTGCAGCGCGGTGTCGTTGTAGTCGTTGCAGATTGTGGGCCGCTTCTCGCCAGCGACCTGGTACACGATATGGAAGCCGTCGAAGCTGATGCTGTTCTGGCTCTTCGTCAGGAGGTACTCAACTGACGGAATGAATATGGAGGCGCACACAGCAGCGAGTGCTATGGCAAGAACACTTGGGCGGCCGCTAGCCCCTGGTTGTGGCGGCAGAAGAACTGGAAGCTCTGATGGGAGCCTACCCCGCTGAGGCAGTGGAATGGAAGCCATTTGGCCTTGAGCCAAAATGGCTTGAGCCAAAATGGCTTGAGCCAAAATGGCTACGGATGATGATGATGATGATGATGATGATGATGATGATGATGATGATGATGATGATGATGATGATGATGATGATGAGGAGGAGGAGGAGGAGGAGGAGGAGGAGGAGGAGGAGGAGCATAAGGAGGAGGAGGAGGCGGAGGGAGGAGGATGAGAAGCAGGAGGAGGTTGGAGGGAGGAGGAAACGGGATGCGAGGAGGAGGAGAAGGAGGAGGAGGAGGATGAGGAGGAGGAGAGGAGGAGGAGGAGGGGATGGAGAAGGAGGAGAAGGAGGCGAAGGAGGAGGAGGCGGAGGATATGAGAGGGAGAAGGATGAGGAGGAGATCAAGGAGGATGAGAGAGCAGGAGGAGGGAGGAGTAGGAAGAGGCGGATGGAGGAGGAGGGACGAGAAGGAGGAGAGGAGGAGAATGAGAGGAGGAGTAGGAGGAGGAGCGGAGAAGGAGAGGAGGAGGAGGAGGAGGAGGAGCAGGTGGTTGGAAGAGAAGACGAGGAGTAGGAGGACGAGGAGGACGAGGAGGACGAGGAGGAGGAGGAGGAGAGGAGAAAGTGCGAGGAGGAGGAAAGGGAGGTGCGGGGAGGAGAGAGGAGGAAGAATGAGGAGGAGGTGCGAGGAAGAAGAAGGGGAGAAAAGAAGGGGAAAAGAGGAAGAGGAGGAGGAGAGAGGAGAGGAGGAGGACAGGAGGAGGCAGAGGAGGAGGGGGGGAGGAGGAAGAGGAGGAGGAGTTGGAAGGGAAGAAGGAGGAGGAAGAGGAGGAGGAGGCAGAGGAGGGGGAGGAGGAGGAGGAGGAGGAGGAGGAGGAGGAGGAGGTGCGAGGAGGAGGAGGAGGAGGTGCGAGGAGGAGGAGGGGGAGGAAAAGGAGGGGGAGACAGAGGAAGAGGAGGAGAGGGAGGAGGAGGAGGTGCGAGGAGGAGCGGGGGGGGTGGCGGCGGCGGCCGCTAGGCCGGCGGCCACGGCCCTCCTGCCGTTCTTCACCTCTCGGCGGGGCGGGCTGCCGAGGCGCCGAGGGCCAGCGGCGAGGGACGGCGGCAAGGAGCGCGGCGGCGATCGCGGCGACGACTGCGACGGCGCGGGCGGCGGCGGCGACGACGACGACGACGACGACGACGACGGCGACGACGTAGAGGACGACGACGACGACGAGGACGACGACGACGACGACGATGTCGACACAGACGAAGAACACGGCGACAATGACGGCGGAGATTGCGACGGCGCGGGCGACGACGAGGACGACGACGAGGACGACGACGAAGACAACGACGACGACGACGAACGCCGACGACGACGACGGCGACGGCGACGACAACGACGAGGAGGACAAGGACGACGACGACGAGGACGACGACGATTGCCACGGCGCGGGGGGTGACGAGGACGACGACGACGAAGACGATGACGAAGACGAGGACGACGAACGACGACGACAACGTTGACGAGGAGGACGGCGACGACGAGGACGAAGACGAGAGACGGCGCGGGAGACGACGAGGACTGCGTGGAAGACACCAACGAGGACGACGACGCCGACGACGAACGACGACGAAGACGACAACGAGGACGAGGACGACGAAGACGACGACGACGTCAAACGATGACGACGAGGACGTGAACGACGACAACGATTACGACGACAAAGAGGACGAGAACGACGACGACGAAGAAGACGGCGACGACTGCGACGGCGCGGGCGACGAAGAGGACAACGAGGAAAAATACGGCGAAGACGACGACGATTGACGACGACGACGACGATGACGGGGACGAGGACGACGAGGACGAGGACGACGACGAAGACGACGACGACGAAAACGGCAATGATTACGACGGCGCGGGCGACGCCGAAGACGACGACGACCACGACCACGAGGACGACAACGACAACGACGACCGCCGACGACCACGACGACGACGACGAAGACGACGACGACGACGACGGCGGTGAAAGGGTTGGCGACAACGACAGCGACGACGACGACGACGACGACGGCGAAGACGACCAGGACGAGCACGAGGACGAGGCCGGCGACGACGATGACGACGACGACGCAGATGGGGACCAGGACGACGACGAAAACCATGGCGACGATGACGAAGACGGCGACGACGACGACGACGACGGCGACGACGACGACGGAGACGACGACGACAACGACGACGAAGACGACGAAGAGGACGAGAACAAGAAGACAAGGACGACGAAGACAGCGAACATTGCGACGGAGCGGGCGACGACGACGAAAACCACGACGACCACAAAGACGACGACGACGACGAACGACGACGAGGACAAGGACGAGGACGAGGATGGCGACGACGATGCAGACGAAGACGACGGCAACGAGGACGAAGGCGGCGACGTTGCGACGTCAAGGGCAAACACGAGGACGAGAAGACGACGACGACAACGACGACGAACGACGAAGACGGCGACGACGACGACGAGGACGACGACGACGAGGACGGCGATGGCAAGGACGAATACGACGACGACGACAACGACGACGACGGCCACGATGACGGCGACGATTGCGACGGCGCGGGCGGGGACGAGACCGAGGACAAGAACGAGGACGACAATGGGACGAAAAAATGCGACGACGACGAGGACGACGACGACGACGACGACGGCGACGATTGCGACGGCGACGTTTGCGACGGCGCGGGCGACGACGAGAACGACGGTGAAAACGACGAGGACGACGGGAAGCAGGACGACGACGACGACGAAGACGGCGGCTACGGCGATGAGGACGACGACGAAGACGGCGGCGACGGCGATGAGGCCGACGACAAAGACAACGACGAAGACGACGAACGCGAGGACGAGGACGACGACGAAAACGCTGACGACGACGGCGAAGGCGGCGACGACTGCGACCGCGCTGGCGACAACGAGGACGACAATAAAGACAACGATGAAGACGACGACGACGACGACGAACAAGGACGACGATAAACAACGACGACGACGACGAGGACGACAACGAAGACGACCAAGACGACGACGTCGCCGACAAACATGAGGACGAGGACGACGAAGATGGCAACGACGACAAAGATGACGACGAAGACGACGACGGCGAAGACAACGACAACGTCGTCGATGACGACGACGACGAAGACGAGGACGACGACGAAGACAACGATAACGACAACAAAGAACAACAACCGACGACGACGAGGACGGCGACGACGACGAGGACGACGAGGGCGAAGAAAACGACGACCGAAACGACGACGACGGCGATGACGACGAGGAAGAGGAGGACGACGACGGCGACGGTGACGATGGCGACGGGTCGGGCGACGACGAGAACGCCGACGAAAACGACGACGACGACGAACGGCGAGGATGTTGACGACGACGACAAGACGACGACGACGGTGGCGACGGCGAAGACGACCAGGACGAGGACGAGGCCCAGGACGACGGCGAAGACGACCAGGACGAGGACGAGGCCCAGGATGACGACGACGACGACGAGGACGACAACGACGACGACGACGAACCTGGCGACGATTGCGACGGCGCGGGCGACGACGAGGACGACGTCGAAGACGACGCTGCGGATGTTGCCGCTGCTGGCGAGCGGTGGGTCCGCCGCCCGCCGAGCGCCCGCGCGCAGCAGGCGCGCGGCCGCCCGCGCCCGTCGGGGTGCGGCTGCCCCGCCTCGCGGGCCAGCCCTTGCCTCCACCTCAAGGCTCCCTCGGGCCCTCCTCGCCCCTCCTCCTCCTCGCCCCCTCCTGCTCCTCCTCCTCCTCCCTTCCACCACCACCTCCTCCTCCTCCTCCTCCTCCTCCTCCTCCTCCTCCTACTCCTCTCCTCCTCGCCTTCCACCACCACCCTCCTCCTCCTCCTCCTCCTCCTCCTCCTCCTCCTCGTCCTCCTCCTCCTCTTCCTCCTCCTCGGAGCCCTCGGAGGCTGGCGTCCTCCTCGCCCCTCCCTCGCCCCCGCCTCCTCCTCCTCCTCCTCCTCCTCCTTCCTCCTCCTCCTCCTCTCCGCCTCCTCCTCCTCCTCCTCCTCGCGGGCCCTCCTCGCCGTCCTCACCCCTCTCCTCCTCCTCCTCCTCCTCCTCCTCCTCCTCCTCCGCCTCGCCCCTCCCCCTCGCCTCTTCGCGGGGCCCTCCTCGCTCCTCCTCGCTCCTCCTCCTCTTCCTCGGCCTCTGGGCCTCGGCGGCCTGCCCCGCCTCGCTGCCTCCTCGCGCCGGGGCGGCCTCGAGGCCACCGCGCTGGGCCCAGCTGCCCGCAGGCCGCAGGCCCTCCTCTCCTCGGGCTGCGCGCCCCTCCTCCCTCCCCCCCCCCTGGCCTTGGGGCCCTGGCCCAGGCGCCTCCTCGAGGCCACCTCGGCCTCCCTCCGCCCGCCTGCCCCGCGAGCCCGTCCGCGCCGCCGTGGCCTCCGCCTCGGCGCCCAGCGCTCCAGCGGCTCGTCCCCAGTGGCCCCCGCAGGCCCCGGCCACGTCCGCGGGCGGGCGAGGCCGCACAGCCTCGCCGCACCACGGCGCTCGTCTCTGCCCCTCGAACCGCTCCCTGGCTGGCACCGCCTCTGCGGCCTCGCCTCCTGCCTCCCCGGCAGCTCCGGCCCGAAGCTGCACCTCTCCTCCTTCCTGGAGGGCGGCGGGCGGAGCCCTTTCGCCAGCCTCCAGGTCTGCCCCTTGCGGGCATCGGCCCCCCTGCAACTCGACGAAGAAGACGATGAGGGCGACGACGACAACAACGAACGACGACGACGACGACGACGACGACGACGACGAGGACGACGACGACGAGGACGGCGGC